CTCACAGCATTGTCCTCCAGAATATAGCTTGCAATGTTCTCTTTGATGATGAACGTCACACCTTTCCTCTTCAATTCATCATTCATGGCAAAGTAGACTATATGACTGTTGATTAAAAATGGTCCATACCTATCCATCTCAGCTCACTAATGCCTAATATGTCAGTTTTATACATTCAATTTTATGCAATTTCCAATATTCCTGGATTCTTATTTTGGACATTCTATGTTCCAATTTTTGTTGTCATTGCTGTTAGGCGCCATCGAGTTGTAGACGATCTGAGCACTGTCCATAGAGTTTCTGGAGGCAAGTCATTTTGGAAGTAGATGCCACTTCTGCTTCCAGGCTTGTTTTAATCAGGAAGCTCCAGCAAACACTGTCCGCCATGGGTAACCATTATCACATTTGGCATATCAGTGTCACAGTGTTTAGCATCACAGCAACCACGAGTTACCTCTGTTCAGCAATGCAGACCAGGGCTATACCACCTAGAAGAATGTGTCACAAAAAAACCAATTTGAACCAGGCCTGAGGGCCGCAGATTAAAATCACCCATCCTGGGCTTAGTAGCATAACTTTCTGTCCACTAGGCCAATGTAGCTCTATGTTGTCATTGTTATTGTTGTTAGGTGCCACTGAGTCATAGACGACTCATACCGACCCTATGAATGGAAGATCTGAGCACTGTTCATAGAGCTTCTGGAGGCAAGCTATTTTGGAAGTGGATGCCACTTCTGCTTCCAAGCACTAATGGATATTTGAAGCTATTTCTTCTCTCTCTTTTTTTTTGTTTTGTTAGTGCTTTCCAACATGAAGTGCTCTATGTGTTATACGTTCTACTCTTCATGATGTTAATGAGGCAGGATTAAAAGCCATCTATAAAGACACATGATCAGCCTTAGGATTATTGGAAGTGACCTCAGGAGTGTGACCATGTTGAGGACGTGTCTGGCCTCTATGGCAGAAAGCTGAAAAGCTTTTTGTCCAAACTGGTTATCTGGCTTGTGCCATCCAGACTTCAACTACTGGTCTGCCATAGTTGCCAAATTTAGACTCAACAGTCTCCAAAGCTTGTCATCTACCATCCTCTCTCCAACAATGACCTTTGGCCCATCAGCCTCTGAGACTGGCATTCTTGAAAGCCTAGGGCCCTGCTTGCCTGCTGATGACCTGAACTCATTAGCCTCCCCAGACACTTCTCTTTTGAGAGGTGGAAGAAAGATGAACAATAGCCTCTCCTGTGTAATTGACACAAATAAGTAAATTTGCGCTTACAGACACATACACACACTCAAAACCAAAATAACTCAAACTTATTGCCATGAAGCTGGAACCAACTCATAGCTGAGACACTCTTGCAATCTTTCAGAGGCTGTAAACCATACAAGAAGAAAATGGATCTGAACCACTAACCCTGACATTAGCAGTGCATATATAAGGGAGCTATGGTGCCCTAGAGTAGGAGTTGTGCTGCCAACACAAAGGCAGGCAGTCTAAATCTACCAGCTGCTCCACAGTAGAAAGATAGGCAATCTTCTCCCGTGAGGTTTATAGCTTCTGAAAATCTACTGGAGGGTCAGTTAACAGCAACAACAATAAACAAAGCTATATAAGTTTGACATCCATCCATCCTGATGCTGCCAATTGGTCCAGTGGTGAGAATCTTTGTCTTCTTGACATTGAGCCTCAATCCATATTGTAGGCTGCAGTCCTTGACACTCTGCAGCAGGCGCTTCAGGTCCTCCTCAGTTTCAGCAAGCAGGGGTGTGTCATCTGCATAACGCAGATTGTTGATAGATCTTCTACCAATCTTGACCCACATTTCTCCTCATAGAGCCCAGCCTCCCGGATAATCTGTTCTGCATATAGGTTGAAAAGGTATGGAGATAGGATGTGCATCCTTGGTGTACGCCCTTTCCAATTTTGAACCATGCAGTGTTCCGTTGCTCTGTTCTGACGACTGCCTCCTGGTCCAAGTATAAGCTTTGCATTAGAATGATCAAGTGTTCTGGGATTCCCATTCTTCTCAGAGTCAGCCATAGTTTGTTATGATCTACACAGTCAAATGCCTTTGCATAGTCAATGAAACACAGATAGACATTCCTCTGGTATTCCCTGCTTTCAGCCAAGATCCATCTAACATCAGCTACAATATCCCTAGTACCACGGCCCCTTCTAAACCCAGCCTGGACTTTTCACCACTGGACCAATTGGTAGCATCAGGATGGATGGTGAAGAGATTGAGATTGTACACAGCTTTAGTTTGCTTGGCTCCATAGTCAACAGTCTTGGCACCAGCAGCCAGGAAATGAAAAGGCGCATTGCCATGGGAACGTCTGCTGTTAGGGACCTCTCCAAAGTACTGAAGAGCAATGGTGTCTCTCTGGAGACTAAGGTGCGTCTGATACAGGCCATGGTCTTCGCAATCACCTGTTATGCATCAGAGAGTTGGACAATGACCAAGGAGGATAGAAGGAGAACTGATGCCTTTGAGCTGTGGTGCTGGAGAAGAGTATTGAGAATACCATGGACTGCTAGGAAAACAAACAGATTTGTCCTGGAAAGGGTTAAACCGGGTGGCTCCTTGGAGGCAAGGATTCTGAGGCTCCGTCTAACATACTTTGGACATGTTGTGAGGAGAGACAGGTCCTTGGAGAGGGACATCATGCTTGAAAGGGTGGAGGGACAGCGCAGGAGAGGAAGGCCCTCTATGAGGTGGATTGATTCAGTGGGATAATTGGGATGGGAGTGTCAGAGACAGTGCGATTGGCACAGGACAGAGCAGAGTTTAGGGCTGTTGTACATAGGGTCGCTATGAGTCGCAAGCGACTCGATGGCACATAACAACAACATATAAGTTTATCTGTCATTAATCTTGTATGTTCTTTTCTCAAAATTTTTTATCACAATACCCTCACAATAATTTAGGAACTCATGAGTCTTATCTTCAAGCTTAAACACAGAAACTTTCCTGATGAAGCAGTTACTTGTTTATCTGGAAAAAAAAAATCCATTGTGAAGCTTGTTCTTGTTAGGTGACAGTGAGGCAAGCTCGACTCACAGTGATTCTACAAACAAGGGATCTGAACCTTGTCAAATCTTATGCCATCCACATCATCTTTGATATACTAGAGACCACTGCTACAGTTACCATGTCAATAGATGTAAAATACTTAGAAAGTCTTTACCATACAGTAAAAAGAGTAAAACCAATTGCCACCAGGTCCATTCTGAATCAGAACAAGTTTGTCTGTGCCAGAGAAGAACTGTGCTCCACTAGGCTAACTGTGGCTGAGTTTTTGTTGCAGATTCCTAGGCCCTGCTCCCAAGGAGCCTTTGAGTGAACCTGAATCTCCAAACTCTGGTTAGCATCCCAGTGCATTAGCCGCCATACACTAAATTCTCAATAACTGCTATTATTATAATTAATGTTGCAGTGGTGGTTGCTGTTGTTAGGTGTCACTGAGCCCGTGAACAAACTTGCCCTACCCTGTACAATCACCAACAATTGTCATGTTTAACCAAGTCCATTGTTACAGTAATTATGCTTATCCATCTCTTAAAGGTTCTTCTTTTTACTTTTCAACTTCTTTTTAACTGATCCTCTGCTTTTACCAGTATAATATTGGTTCCCAAGAGCTGTTCCCAAAGGCAACAAGCCCAAACTATAGGAGATGAAGTTTCACCATCCTTGCCTCTAAGGAGCCTCACTGTTGTACTTCTTTCAAGAGAGATTTATCCATTCTTTTGGCAATTGATGGGATATTCAGTAATCTTTGAAAACACCATAATACAAAAACATCTATTCTTCTTCAGTCTTGTTTATTCATTGTCTAACTTTCACATGCTGAAGAAGCAAATGAAAATTCCATGGCTTGAATCAGAAGTACCTTAGTTCTTAAACTGACATCCTTGCTCTTCAGCACGTTAAAATTTAGCCCTTTAAAAATTAAAATTAATAGTTACTTACAATTTTTAAGATAATTCTATATTTTTATATACAATGAGGCACAATTTATTAAAAAGTTCATATCTAGAACAAAATCATAATTCTTAAAATATTAAAACTTATTGAACCAGCACAGACTAAAGGAATACCCAACATTGTTACCATGAGATGTCCTTTAAATTTAGAACTAAAACCACTAGCAGAGGTCACTAGTCAGTGCAGTGTACTTTTTAAAAAAATCATATACAAGACAGAAAGTGATAAACATTATTCTAAAGCAAAGATGTGAAGGTAAGTGGGAGCACAAGTGAGCTAGACTAACAGAAACAAAACAATCAGAATGGGATGGTGAAGAATGTGGACACAGTGCAAAAAATGTAACCAAAGTCACTGAAAAGTTTGTACAAAAATTATGAAATTGAACTTAGTTTGCTGTGCAAACTTTGACCCAAAATACGTAAGATATTATTACTTGATTTTTAAAATTTTATTACTTTGGGGTGTTTTTTTTTTCATTCACATTGCGTTTCTTACAAACATTTCCATACATTGTATCTTATAACCACCATTAATCTGGGCCCACTTTTGCTTCATCAATTTCCCACTTGGATCCTTCCTAAATCCTTCACCCCCTCCCTCGACTCAACAAACTCTGTAATGCTGTGATTTTTTCCCCCCAAACTCCCATCCCCATCTCCACCCTCAGCCCCTGGTCCCTCTTCTTCTCCCTTTGGATATCCAAATGCACCTTACTGGTTATCCTACTGTTTTTATAATAATATTCTTATACTGTGTTTGTTCTTATGTACCTGAGTTAGTTCACTCAGCATAATGCTCTCTAGCCTCTTCCATGTCATTCAGTGTTTTTTAAAAATCCTTGCTACTGAGTGCTAAATAGTATTGACACCGGTTTTAAAAAAAATCACTTTACATCAACAGTTGCCAATAAGTTATATGCAAATGTCTATAAATTATATGTAAAGTATAATAAACAGACTTAAAAGTATTTCAGTATTGAATGGTAGGTTTCAGCATGAACACTGCTACTCACAGATCTGCTTGCTCTCCTTTGGTAACTGGATTTTGTTTGTCTGACTGCTGCCTTCGAGGACAAACACAAAACTTCTAACTTCTTTATCAAACTCCTAGAGAACAAAGGGAAGAGGGATCATTGAAGTGCACTTGAAGTTTACTTATTAATTCAGTGCTGCACTTTCACAAGAAGAAAAAAAAAAAGGTCATGGCTCCAGCTTTGATGACATTCTTATGTTAAGATTTTGTGGGAACTGGAATTCTCTCTGATAAAAATATTCTTCCAAATAAGTTCTCCAACTTTAGAAAGTTACTTAAAAGTCTCAGAGCTTAATGCCTTTCCTTCCTCTTAATCTATATATTCTTATTTAGCAATACAAGCTGTATGTCATCCATTACAGTATAGAAAACTATCTAACCTATGCTTTACTTACTTCGGAAACTACTTGCTTTTCGGCCACTGTATGTACAGATGTCACTATTATCTTATTTTACCAGTGCTCTAACTCTGAAATTCTGTTTATTGAATTTACTTAAAACTGACACAAATTAAAATGTTACAGTCATGAGCGCCAAAAACTATGGCAGAACGAGTGAGGGGGGGAGTCTTCATAATGAAAAACTTCCTATACTTACATTTCTCTCAAAGTGCTACTGTAAGTGGTTATTTTTTTATCTTACAGCAAATTCCCAATCTTTGAGTTTAATGATATTCTTTTCACATTTAAATATTTCAGATTCTCTCACTCTTCAGGATTGTAATTAGAATTTTTTTATCCATTTAAAAATGTATAACTAATGGTTGCTACAAACTATTTAAATACAAGTATACTGTAACACCATTTCTGTGTATTTAAAGTGAATAAAGATGGCCTAGTGTATTACTTACTCCACTGATACACAAGTTGGGGGAACTGTGGTGGTACAGTCTGTAAGGGGCTACACTGCAGAACCCTAAAGTGATGCCTCTCCTGTGGTTCAAATCAACCAGTGGCTTCATGAGAAAAAGATGGGAAATCTCCTCCTAGGCAATTTACAGCCCCTGAAAGCCCTCTCTGGAGGGTCAGCTATGAGTCGGTTCCAGTTCGACAGCTACGTGTTAAGTTGACATACAAGTTGAGCCTGACCTTATTTCAAGCCTTTTCAGCATGGTCCACAGCCCCTGCATCTGCAGCCTGCTCTCCCTTACCAAGCACTTCCCCTCCAGCTCTGCAGGCTAGCTAGCCTCAAGAGCTCTCCTCTGGCCTTAACACACTCTTCTCTCCATCAGCTCCACCTTGTACCACTGTACCTGAGCCTTTAGTGCTCACATGTCATTTCCTCAGGGCAGCCTTTCCTGATCGAGCTACATACTCTCTCAAGACAACATCTCTCATTCAAGCTGGGAAGTTGTAAGCAAGTTGCTTGCCCTCTCTGGGCCTGTTTTGTCAGTTGAAAAAAGGAAACAAAGGGACCTATCTCATGTGGTTACTGTACCTGTAAAATTACCTAAATACTTTATGCTATATTTTGCAAATAATAAGCACTGAATAAAAGCTTGAACTGTTTCTAGAAAAATGTCCAGATGAAAGCATTCTTCTCTTGCTTGTATCGGACAGAGACAGGGTATTAGATCTGATGGCAGCTAGGTGAGGTAGTTTCTACCTAAAGGCTTCTTTCTTATGAAGAAGGAGGTATAGATATGTGAATTGTGTGTGTGTGCTTCTTCCTGTGAAAAGGGATGGGTGTGTGTGTGTGTGTGTGTGTGTGTATACACGTGTGTTAGGTGTGTTCTGTTGAGTAAGGGAAGGAGTTGGGAATGAGGATAGGGTGGTTGAAAGCCTGAAGAAAATGGGAAAAATAATAATTTTGGAGGCTAAGTAAACGTAACAAGATTATTGGAGCACTTTTTGGATCACTGGGATTGATTTTATGTCACAGTATTACGAATCTGAGTCGTTGGAGATATTTTTCTCCAAGGCTCCACAGCAGCCCAGATGCAGGTACAGAGAAGATGGATAATGGGGAGATCAGAAAAGGTCGGGTTTCAGGCATAAGGAAAGGACCAGGAACAAGGTCATATAATGTCTTGACAGGGATGTGACTGAAATGAGGGATTATGGTTTCTGCCAAGCTGGAGAGAAAACATAGAAAAGTTTGAAAATAAATAATAAATAAACTCAAATGCACAGAGAAAACAGAATCGTCAATGGTCTAAATGTTCCAGTGAGACCTTTATTAACACAAAGCAACCAAATGAACGACTTCAAGAACAAAACACTGGGCTCTGAGGGGGTTAACTCAGCATCTGAGTGTCTTCAGAAGCTCTGTAGTTAGGTACAATAAGGTCTAACAGTGGCAATGGGCGCTGAAGCAGAGTGGAGGTCATCAGAGCTGAAGAAATCCAGCCGCCCATGACTTACAGAGACTTTCCCCATAGATAGCAAAGTTCCCCAAACCATCGTCAGAATCACAGTACAGAGAAGGGCCATGAGTTCTGTGCCAAAGTCTTTATCAATTTCAGACATCATCATGTCTGGAAGACTTATTGCCAATAATGCCATAAAGAAGTGTGGGGGGAAAGAACAGGAAAAATCAATTTGGGAAAAAACGGATCAAGGCTTTTGATGTATTTTTTTTTTCCATTTATACTTCTTCCCACAGTCTCCGTGGCTCTAATTTCTAACACTTACTTTCCAAATCACAGATGGACTGCCAAGGATCTTCCATTTTGCTCCAGGATTTTTGCCCTGAGCACTAAAGATTTCAACAAATGCACCTCCCTAGGAGGAGAAAAAGAAATAATACTTAGCATGAGAGACAATGTCAAAGAGGAAATGCTCGCTACCACAAAGACTACACCCAGTGTTCCAGGCATTTTGTCAGCTAGGTACATCTGGAGGAAACATTATCCCTATTATTACTTTTACTTTATACCTTGATTATATCTAAGTCACACCTGTTCTGATTTGGGTCACCTTGGATTAACGGCTTAAGGAACTTTTTAAAAGCATGATAAACTTTAAAAGATTTATGCCATATAAACCTTACAAATCTCTTGAGTGTGGGAGTCATTTATTTGACATGTACTGATCATGGTCACGGAACATTCTATTCTAACCCCAACTAAAGGGTTTAAATTCATCTCTCAAGGCAGGCTAACAAATTCTGGCAATTATCTCTAATCACAAATTCTTCCTTCAAACTGACCTGGATCCCAATCTGAGCTTTGCCATTTATTCATCTAACCTTGCAGTTACTTAATATCTTGATTATTCATCTATAATATAGGTTTGTATTATTGTTGTTGCTGTTGTTACATACCATTGAATAGTCTGCACATAGACTCAAAGTGATCCTAAGCACAACAGCTCTGAATCCTTCTCTATCCGGAGCCAATCTCCCTGTTTCTAACACCTACCCCCTATTACTCCAGTTACTGGGTCAATCCATCCCATCCAGAGTTGCTCTTTTGCACTCGCTTCAACCTTTGTAAGCATGATATAAATGCCCGAAATATGTGAGATGGAGCTTTAAAATTCTTGCCTCCAAGAAACAACTTGGTATCACCCTCTCCAGGACAAATCTGTTTGTTCTCTTTGCAGTCCAAGATATGTTCAACACTCTTCTCCAGCACCACAACGCAAAGGCATCACTCTGTCTTCTGTCATCTCTGGTCATTGTCCAGCACTTTGATACACAGCAAGTAAAGGTGAAGACTATGGTCTAGATTAGGTGCATTTTAGTCTCTAGATTAACATCATTGCTCTTCAGGACTGTGGAGAAGTCCCTGACAGAAGATTTACCTAATGCAATTAGTCTTCTGATTTCCTGACTGCTGGTACCAAGAGTGTTGATTGTGGACCAAAGCAAGCTGAAATTTTTAACAGTCTCAATCTCTTTTCACTCTACCATGGTGTTGCTAAATGCCCCACTGGCGAGAATTTTTGTCTTCTAGATGTTGACCTTCAATCAATTTTTGTTTTATAGTTGTTATTATTAAGTGTCATCAAGTGACAATGGACTCATGCTGACCTACTAGTGGGTTTTTCAGAGGCTGTAAATCACCCTACAGAAGAATGCCTATCTTTCTCCTGCAGAACAGCTGGTAGATTCAAACTGTCTGCCTTTGGGTTGGAAGCACAACTCCTCACCCACTAGGCCACTTGTTTTATAGCTCTGTTGAATTGTAGAGAATAGTAAAAATAAGTCATCAATTTTTCAAAGAGAAGAGGGAGGTTGGGCAGGGGGAAAAGTGCAACAATGAATAAATGGAAATCCAAAGTCTATGTAAACTTTCATTAAAGCTCATTAATTAAAAAATTGGGAGGGGGAAACCCCATAAATCAAGCACAATGCTTATGCAATAAAGTAAATATTAAATATTTTAGTACAAAGACTTGGCAGGAGTTTTAAAGGGGAGGATATAATTCTTATTTTGAGCATCCCTACAAGGAGGATAGAAGGAGAATTGATGCCTTTGAGCTGTGGTGCTGGAGAAGAGTATTGAGGGTACCATGGACTGCTAGGAAAACAAACAGATTCATCCTG